AGGAAAGTACCTAAAAAAGTAGTACTGTATAAAAAAATTATCATATAAAAATTATGGCGCAAAACTTGAATGCGATATTGTTATTACAATGTACATTAGGGGTTCATAGGAATGACATTACCTGAGTCTGAGTCATTTCACATATTATGTAGATTTTGATGTACAACATACATTAGGAGGCCACAGCACGCCCTTCTGGTGAAAGTGTCTTGTAGCGTCCTGGGGATCTACTCCTGTTCTTAGCCGGACATCTGTCCGAAACAATTACCGTCAAATAAGTAAAACTCGAGCAAATAAAAAAAGACGTATGATACGAATGTAGCTTCATACTTGGCAATGTCTTTTTGGTCGAATATTGCTTATTTCTCAGTAATTACGTCCGAAGTAATTACGTACGGCCTCTAGGCCGTACCCACCTGAGCGCCCTCAGTCCGAGTACTTAAATTATACACAGGTTAACTGCCTTCAGCTCGCCCTTTTATCTGGTATCGCAGTAAAAAAGCAACCACAGACTACACGTCATTGTGACTCTGAACCTTGGATGCCTAAAAAATTAGACGCTTGTAGAAGCACTGCAGAAACTTGACATTGGCGCAATATATTTTAGTGGCAATAAAGCTCGTTGTGAATGAGTTCGTCCAGGGAAGTACTGCCGCTTTACCTATTTCTGAACTGTTCCTATTCCGGAACGCAGTAATGTAAGCATTACTGCGTTCCGGTTTAGAAGTAGTGAAGGGTAAGGATGCTGGTGAAATTATAGGCACATGCATTTTTCAATTTATGTCTCAGGATGACGGGCGTAGGATTATGGACAGGCATGTTATTTAACACCAGACCTTCGACATGTTCGTCCTGTCACTTGATACCGTAAAAAAGTCTAGTCTGCAAAAATTGCGCGCGTGGAAAATTAGTGATGTCGTTATTGCAGCGGTTCTAAAAGCGTTTATAAGGCCTGTAAAATATAGAGCATATAGTAGAAAAAACAACGTGTAACAAAGGGCTGGCTGGAAACCTAAGTTACTGGAGTTACACTAATTGAAGCGACTACGTCATTTCTATCCATAATTCAAAACCTTAAAACTAGTCAATGATTTAATGTCATATGTACATAATTAATTACAATTCGTTTTTTAACATTCTAGTCGAAAATTAATAAAATAGTATAAGAACAAGTATGGATACTCCGCACAAACCGTACACGGCCGCCGCGCGCCGTAACGGACGCACATACTCGCATAATCTCGAGGTGAGTATAGTGTTCTGTGGTGCACTCGCGTTGCATAGCGCGGGTTGCCGCAGGCGCCTTTCATTATAGAATTAAAGTGATCGCTGGCTGTTTAAAATATTTTTTGTGTCAAATTTATAACATCTTGATTTATAAATGTATGGTTATGAATAAACTCGCTGTACGGTTTACAACCGCAAATTTTAGTTTTGCTTTCTCTGCGTCCTACTTTCCGCGGCCGTTTGTTCACCTGTGGGCCTGAGGATTTTATTTGAGCATTCTGTGTTCCGGTTTTGAAGGGTAAGGGTGCTGGTGAATTACAGGCACTTGGGGCTTGTCAACTTATGTCTCTAGGTTGACGAGCACAGTGGCAGTGCCCCTCAGATCTTTGCGATTTAAAGCTCTGAGTGGCACTGCAACTGTTATGGACAGGCGTGTAGCTTACCATCAGGCGCACGATCTTGTTCGTCCCGTCACTTGATATTAGAAAAAAAAAATTACGAAACTCGACTTCTACTAGAGCCTTGTTCGTAATTCCTTATTTACCGCCCTTTACACACACATTATTGTATTATTACAATCTACAAGTAAAATAATAATGTGACAACCCTATGCTCCAAACGACGTGTGGGCATCAGCGACGCGCCATACATGCGGGATTTGGACTCTACTTGTCTCGTTATACCATTTTAGTATAATTAATTAATATGTACTCCGTTGAAAAGGAATAGTACAATGCTATAAATGTACTACCCAAAAATTAAAAATAAACAATTATGCTAAGGCCATATTACAACATTATCACTATAACGCGTACAGCTAATTAGAAAAATATATTATCATATTACTTGCAGCCTACAACAAACAAATCTATATTATTCACGTTCTCTTCCACGTTTCTACTCATAAATACTTAAAATTGGAGAACCAATACTCAAGAGGAATGCTAATCGCGATACAAGACAACGTGGTCGGGTATTTAGTACATATTGTTAGCCCATGGAAGAAAAAAACAATGCAAGTACCCTAAGGATCGATTACTATGAGAACCGATGTCGCCAAAACTCACACATTCGTAATTTGATACACTGCATAATCTTGATATTGATTGGTCATAGTTTCAAATTTAAAAAGAAATAAATTCTGGATTGTTAATACAATTTAAACTTTACCCTGTTAGCATATCGTTGATAGTTCAATATCATCAATACCTATTATTACAAGTTACGACGCTATGATATTACATTGAAATTTCAATCAATGTACTGCCATCTAGCGATTAATTGCTGAACGACGACGATTTGGAGTTAATAATTTAGTTCTCTACACAAGAAGCGATCATATTATAATAATAATAATAATAATAATAATAACGCACACACTCAACATAGCCCCGCACTAGGGAAACCCTGTGTCGCGGGTGCCATGGACACACACATAGACAACCACAAATTACACCCAAACTCATGAGAGAAATAAATGCAGGCCATACAAATATTTCTCCCGGCCCGGGAATCGAACCCGGGGACCTCTGCGTGGCAGTCCGATATGGTAACATTTCGGCCACGGAGGCAGTTAAATATATATATATATTGCAGGGGTATAAAGCTTTACTTTCGTTTCTTGTAGCAAACATTTTTTTTCGATAAACAGAAACTTGAAAGATTATTAAAATAACACTTTCCGATGATATGAAATACCACATCATTTCTGCACTCCAAAACAGCACAATAAAGCATTTTTCTAGGATTTTAGAGAATTTGCACGAAAGAATGGCACCATACCATACAAAGCGAAAATGGCGAACTGAGCTCAGGTGGGACTCTCGAGACCTATAGTTGGCACGCGTCAGACGCTAACTAACCACTTCTACTGTATTTATTGTTCTGTGGGTACACCAGACGCCGCGACGAGTAACAAATAGCTATTATTACGCTTGAACATGGCCACGATTGCCATGTTCAAGCGTAATTTTAAATCGTATTTAATGGTAAATCAAAAGAGGTATGACGAGTGGGGTATTTTTAAGTAAAATGTTCTTTTTCTGTTTTTGTTTTGTGTAGTTTCTTAAATGCCACAAACGTTATAAAATATTGTAGTGTTGGTATTTTTGTGTATGGTAAAATGTTGTTATTGTTTATTGTTTGATGTTTCAAAATCTATGTATTGTGTATTATGTTATGTTGATCATGTTTTCAAAATGTATGTTTATTGTAGTGGCGGTCATTCGGTTTTCCTAGTAGCCCGGCACATGCTGAATGGTGACCTTTTTGGTTCTCTGTATATTTAGTTAGCTTTAATGTAGTTTTTTTTCCTAACAAGACCAAATAAATATCTTTTCTTTCTTTCTTACATTATTGTTTCCTTAATCGCGGCCACTAGGCTTGGGCCAGTGTCAGTTTTGATGACTGCAGGCAGTGAATATTGATCAAGAACGCCAATGTTAAGGCAGCAGCAAGGTATTTAATTTTGGAAGAACTTCTTGGACGAACCACTATTGTGGAGAACAATTTGTTTTATAATACATCTGACAAGCTGCAATTTATCAAAGCTACTCTGATTTCTAGTGATAACAAACAAATCAACTAGATGGCGCTTGTTGCTCAGATTTTTAAGTATAGTGCCGGCTATTCTTTTACTTTGCTTAGGATTAACGCCATCTACCGACATTAGGAAACGTTAATTTATAAATTAGTTTGTGACACAATGACATCTATTGACACACATATTTGTCAAAGTTCAGAAAATAAACATATATAAAAAAGGAATTAATCGATATCCACGGCCATTTACATAAATTAACTACTTCCAGGCTATCAGATTTCATCATTTCGATATAAGACGGAATTTCGACCTTTTTCAGAGTTACGACCCGTAAGTATAGAGATAAGCAAGCCTCTTGAGTTATTTGTTCGTCCCCGATGGGGAGTATCCAATTAATCATTACTTCATAATTGACTAAATATTTTTTAATACAAAATCATTGACCTACCAACAAATACAAAATCAATTAAATTGAATAATTTTTCTTGAATTCTAATAGGCTCAGTTTCATGTAAAGATGACTTCATTGTATTGGAAGACAAACATTGGGACACTAGGAATTGGTCAAATTTCATAAAATATTTTTTCATACAAAATGAAAAAAAATGTCAATTTTTTTAATGCTGATAGACTCAGTTTCTTGTAAGAATGATTTTATTGTATTAAAAGAAAAGAATGGGGACAGTAGAGGTTAGTGAAATTTAATAAAATGTTATATAACTACCTCCGTGGCCGAACGGTTACCATACCGGACTGCCACGCAGAGGTCCCCGGGTTCGATTCCCGGGCCGGAAGAAATATTTGTATGGCCTACATTTATTTCTCTCGTGAGTTTGGGTGTAATTTGTGGTTGTCTATGTGTGTGTCCATGGTACCCGCGACACAGGGTTTCCCTAGTGCGGGGCTATGTTGAGTGTGTGCGTTATTATTATTATTATTTATTAATTTTGTATGAAATTATTTTTTTATTAAATTTGACTAACTTCTGCCGTCCCAATTTTATTCTTCCGATAGATTGAAGTCATCCATATAAGAAACTGAATCTATCAGCATTAAAAAAAATTGTTAGTTTTATTCCTTGTGTATGATAAAATATTTTATGAAATTTGACCAACTTCTGCTGTTCCGATTTTTTCGTCCCATTCAATGAAATGATCCCTTCATGAAAGTAAGTCGATTAGGACTAAAAAAAATTTTGATCAATTTTATTCATTTTTACGGACAACTCACGCATGACCAAAAATTGACTATGTCAAAATGGTTTCCAAAAAAAAAGACTTAATGGTACCTAAGACAGTTTCCTTGTGTCGTTGATGGTTTCAGATTTCCGCATACTGTCTCAATTAACAAAAACTCTCGCCTAGTAAACGTCGACGCGTTTAAAAAACAAATCTGGTTAGAACAAAAGTAGTTCAAAAAGATGCCTCAAGAAACCTTTGCATCGTTTTTTACCTGTCAATTGTAAAATTTAACCAACAACTAATGCAACCCAGCCATAACCGTAGGCATCTTACTCAAGTAGTAATCGTGATCGTTTAATGTTACCAAGAGTCCATCTGTGACCTTTACAGGACTGTCTGCTGCATAATTAATTAACTCTCCTTTTGAATTCGTCATTTTGCCTAGTTTTGTTTTTGCTATCGCGTCTCCTGCACATATGTCCCATTTTTTTATTGCTGTTACGTGTAAATAAACGTCGTAAGTTCCATTTACCACTTCTGTAACTTTATATCCAGCACCGGCAGCAGATGTTACAGTTGTGTTTGGGCCAAAGGCGTTTTTGGCTACTTGCTCCACGTTGCCTGGATGCGATCTAGACACCACGACTCTGGGATGATGTATGTGGTCTGGAAACTACAATTTAATAATTTTAAATTTGACTATTTGTTTTAATTATTAATACAAAGATCAAAAACGGACTCGAATCTGCATCTGTGTCAAACCAGGGTCACTGGCCCTGGAACTAGAACTAGTGGAATAATATAACAAAAAATAAATTAAAATCATCATGATATTCAATAAAAACCAATATTCATGACATCTCACATCAGACACTGGTAGCTGTAAAGGCTGAGTGAGAAGCTTCATAGATGAGACATCTATAGGTGTCGCATAGGGCAACAAAAGACGAAAAAACCCCCACACAAAAAATATGTTCGGAAAAGAAATGGCGGGTTTTCGTAGTTACAGTTTTTTCACAAATTATTTTTTATTTTTTAATCTTATTATTATGTTTTAAGTTTCTTAAACCTTTGTTGCTTGTTTAAGCTGAAGGCTCTATAGCCAATGCTCAACAAATAAATAATATATATATTCGCATACCGCTCGCGCGCCACATAATATGCCATTCTCTGTTAAGGACCATTGCGAAATAGTATTGTTTGCTGACAATAACTATGACCATATTAATGATACCCTCTCTGAGGTAGTTTGTTGGTTTAATGCTAACAACTTTATTAACAACAACTTATTAACAAAGCAGTCTTCTTGGAAGTGACCTTAGATAGTTAACTTCAATGGTTTCCACATAACATCTTTCCTGGCCAGTAGATTAAGCTCCGCTGCATACGCAGTCCGCAGAATACGTACGAATCGGTAAAGCTTACCGAAGTTAGTACTGCTAGAAGTAAGTAACTAAAGTAAACTAGTACTTTAGTTACTTCCGTAGTATAATGTCCTACGGGATTCTCACGTGGGGTAAAGCGACAGATATTCAAACCATAATTGTATTGCAAAAACGAGCGATTCATTCTGTGTACCGTCTAGGCTCTCGGGTTTCTCTCAGAGAAAAGGTTTAAGGAGCTGGTATCATGACTGTGGCATCACAGTATATTTACTCAAATATTTTATATGCCCGTAAAAATATACAAAATTTCGATAAGAAACAAATTATCCATAATATTAACCTTAGAGCTAGTCCAAACTCATGGCATCACGATTTCGTTTAACCAAGGTAAACGACTCTTTTATGGGTAATTGTATACGTTTTCACAATAAGATTCCGGAACATACATTAAGATTATCATTTCCTAAGTATAAAAACCACATTAAAAATATTTTGACTGAAAAGTCATATTACAAAATTGAAGACTACGTGTTAGATAAAGATGTATGGAAAGACGTCACGGCTCCAGAATCCACACAAATTTCATTCAAAGCGTATTCCATAGCATTTAAGTTTATTTGAAAAGAGCAGTCCCTAAGTTCTTGCTCGTTCTTCTCAGGGAAATCAGCGTAGTGAATAAGCAGCAGCTTAATGTAATGTAATGTGACGTTTTCAAGTCTAAATTTATTTTACCTATAGAATAAATGATCTTTGACTTTAACTTTGACATACATTAACGTGTATTTCATGCACGCATGCACCTTGCATGCAATATGCGAGCAGAGAGCGCGCAGCGCATTTGCCGCGCGTTCGCGGCGCATTCACCAGATCTGTACGCACCCTAACAAAACTTAGAGAAATTCGCTCTATTGATTCGATCCGTAGCTCAGTTAGTAGAGTAGTGGCCCTGGTTTGGCACAGACTGAGGTTCAAGTCCTGTCAGATTGAAGGATTTTTTTCTTTGTGTTCGATCTTTGTATTAATAATTATAACAAACTACTCAGTGGAGTAATTTCACAAAAAATAAAATGACTATCATCAAGTCATTTACTCAAAATCAATTATATGTTCTCTATGTTCGTTTAAAAATATGTACTTAGCAAATAGACAGGTATAATAACTCTTATTGAAGTCCAACTTTGTAAGCAAATGTAAGTCTTTTGTCTGGTTAAACACGACTTAAAATATTATACCTCACATCAAAATAGTTAAGGCAAGCTTTTGATTGCAGTAGCAGACCGATAAATTAGTATAAATAATAACACAAAAACTATACATTAAATTGAAATAAGTACGTTAATAAATGCTTAGACACAGTGTTGGGCGTTAATCAATTAAATTTCAATCAATAATTCAATCAGATTAAAAAATCAATTCAATTGAAATCAATTGCAATTAAATCAATTGCGACGCGCCGCAATTGATTTAATTGCAATTGATTTTAATTGCAATTGATTTTAATTGCAATTGATTTCAATTGAATTGATTTTAATTGCAATTAAATTTGCAATTAAAATCAATTCCGGCCGGTTGGGGGTCCGGTTGAGGGCTCCAGGGCCCCGGTTGGGGGCCCTAATTGGGCGCCCTAGTTAGGGGCCCCAGTTGGGGGCCCCGGTTGGTGGCCTCAGTTGGGGGCCCCAGTTGGGGGCCTCAGTTGGGGGTCTCAGTTGGGGGCCCCAGTTGGGGGCCACAGTTGGCGCCACTGTTGGGGGCCCTGGTTGGAGGCCCTAGTCGGGGCCCCAGTTGGGGGCCGTAGTGGGGCCCCAGTTGGGTGCCCCAGTTGGGGGCCCCGGTTGGGGGCCCCAGTTGGGGCCAAAGTTGGGGGCCCCGGTTGGTGGGGCCAAAGTTGGGGGCCCCGGTTGGTGGGCCCAGTTGGAGGCCACAGTTGGGGCCACAGGTGGGGGCCATAGT